GTTTTAAAAACTGGTCAGGGTGATTAAAACATTGGGATTGGCGAGAAACATGATCGATTCCGGGATCTTCAGGATTTTTCTGTACATTATGACTGGGGTCCAAATTTCTTTTTTACATATTATTAGTCTGTTAAGAGACGAAAAAAAACAAGTAAGGGCGTGAAGTGGGTTGAGGAAATGGAAGAGTAAGACGTTTCAATCCTTTACTGATAGTAAATTTGTTTTTCGGAAGATTTGTTCCAGACTGTACGCCTTTCTGGCAACAACAACTGCTATACTCGCCGTGGATTTTGATGTGTTCCCACGCCGTTTTGCAAAAACATCGATTTACGGTCGAAGTATAATGGATCTTGGAACAGCCACATTTGTTTATTGTTTTGCTGTGGTCGATGTATTCCGGGAGTTTCCGGGAAGGATCAGAAGTTCCATTGCTCCAGGATATAGGTTACCTTGTTTGGTGATTTGAAGATGTTGAACTTGAAACCCTTAGATGTCCACAAATTTGAATTTTCACTCGCTCCTGACGAGGATCAGAGGTGGGGAATTTAGCATACGGTTTCTGAAAAAAGAATTTATCAGGCTGTGCTTTTGAACATCATTGCCAGTTTGTTATCGAAACGAATCGTGGATTTGTAATCCCAGTGCTACGCTAAGTTCGCAAGTCTATGTCCATATGAATCCAAAAAATTTCCCAGTCGCTGGAATGAAAGGATTCACTGTTGCTGTTTCCAGTTATTTCCCCATCAAGCCATCGTCAGCGTTTGTCCTGATTCTGTTTGGTGTTATCAGAACAGTGGCACTTCGTTTGGTACACTATCCATATCAAGTTATCGAGTATGGCGTACACTGGAACTTTTTTATCACTCTCGGATGCCTTAGAGTATGTTTTATGCTTTTTTTTTCACATACTAAGATGGAGACAAAGCAAATAGAAGGGTCATTAGCGGATTGTCTACAGCGCGATACAGTTTTGGTTAAGAGAATTGGAAAAGTTACCGGTTGCATAGTTGGAGAGGGGGAAAAGGAGGGGGGAGAGACTACGAATTACAGTTAGTCAAGTATCCAAATTATTTTTGCTGCATGGGAATGACTAGCACCAAGAACATCAGTACTGCACGGGCCATTGATATGGATTCCATGTTAATGCTTTTGCCGGGTTGCTCCCGAATGCTAAGCGTAGCTGTCCAGGCCCATAGATTCTGGGTTGAAAATCTTCATTTGGTATCCAGTGTCGTGTCAAACACAAAGTGTGATGACAGTCTTTATTCAGGAACGTATATAAGAACTGTTTGTGTGGGGATTCATAAGGAGGGAGGAGTAGGTATTGTTCTCGGAATGGACAAAGGTCATTTTACTGGAAGAAGAACAAGCAAGACGAAGTCATGGTCCAAAAGCTTGAAAGTTCGACTGGGTGTTTTAGTTGGTCGCGTCCGATGTTGTTAGCGGGAATCTCGGTGAAGAAGAAAAGGGAGGTAAGGGGATTGTGAAGGAATTTAGCCGCTCAATCAATAGAAACAGAAATAATTTGGGATTCTTGTGTTTGTATCTGTACTACTGAAATTCTACTAAACTTGCTCGCTGCACTGTGTTGAAATAATAGAATTCATTCCTCACTACACTGGACATCACTTAACATAGTTATGAGCGAAAAGATCAACACCCAACACCTGTCCGGTACTTCTTCGGAAACTTCCCGAATGTCGTGTACACTTTCCTGCGAGTAACCCTCACCTTGACAGGCGAGCAACCTGCTCTGCTTGATGCCAGCGATATCATTTGACAGTGATCAAATAACTCTCGCAATTCAAGAAAATTTTTGAAGTTCCAGGAAATCGTATAATTTCAGGCAGTTGTTGATGTACTGGGCCGCCGATTTCATCTATTATTAGGCATTATTATTGCAGTAACATACCAGTATTTTCTAACTGGTCAAAGATTGCAGGTTATTGTCTGTTGTAATATCAGCACTTAAACAGGACTTCAACAGAGGAGTACTTCTGGCTGGTAGCCAAAAGTTCAGTCCCGATTTTTTCCATCCGTTTCAACGGTAAAATGGCGCTGACGCTATTGACGCAGTTTGTGCAAAGTGTTTTTTCACTTTTTCGGCATGCAGGATCGATATAACTGTAACAGATTACTTTTTAGATGTATTTGCTATCAGGTAAAATAAAAAGATCAGATTTTCTGGCGAAAAATCGTGAAGGCATCTCCTCGGTGCTTGGTTATTTGTCAATTTATTATTTCGCTTCGGCCATTGCCAGCTTCTTATTCTCAGAAATTGCTCCTCATAATTATTGCAGTAATGAAATACATCTCAATAAAGCTGAAAAAAGGTTCATTTTTGCATTCGTACTGTATTCAAACAAACTCTGTGGCTACTAGTTATCTGACAAGCCAGAAATACCAAGACAGTCCGGACAGTCATGATAATGATGTTGCTGAAATGCTTCACGTCGGTCGCAACTACTGCAAACATTTCAGTCCCGAGCTCCAAACATCCAAATGCCAGGTAAACCCAGGTGTACCGCCTTATTATCTAAGTATCTGTTATAAAGCCAGTTAACATGTGTCACAAAAGTAATTTTAATGAGGCGCTAGTTGAGATGTGCGTAGCGAAAGAGCGAAGAATGCTTGGTGTATCTCCTTCGTAACCATGTACAATCAGACATCCCGTCAAATGAGCGGCGTGCAGAAAGTCATTGCGACCATACTAGAAAGTAAAATCCAATAGGCGAGGCATGTCGCTCGCCTCGCTGATAATTGTTCAGTGTCGTGCTTGACGAGTGATAGTTAACGACCACTCGGACGGCTCTCGAAGAACTTCACAGACACAGAACAGGCGGTGGGTACTTAGGAAAAAAAGGCTTTGTACAACTGTGCAAGCTATGCAAAATGCATCTCAGTCTTACAGAGAACGAAGGAAGACTTTTGACAAATTGATTTATTCTTATAGGATTGCTGAATCTTTAGGCTGTCTGGAGAAGCTATATCTATTCTAGTTTTGGTAAACCCCAGTAAAAATGTACGCTCTTTTTAACATCTGCCAGCTATAACGGTATTCTGTAAAATTTTAGCACTTAATTTGACAAGTATAAGCTCAAATATGTGAAGGATGTCAGAATCATCAGCAGGCTGATCATTTAGGGCAATAAAGCATTGGACAAGCAGTTGAAAAGTTTGCAGCTGTACAGTTAGAGAATCGAGCTATATAATCAGCATTATCCCAGCAATCCTCGATTGTAAATACAAGTTAGGCAAGCTGAATTCTAAAACAGTGTACCACATTTCAGGAAACGTCTTGGAATATGGTTTTCCGCATTATTTAAAGTATTACTGATTGCGGGTCTGCTGTTCTTTATCCAAAAAATAGCCGAACAACATGTTGGTCCACCATCACGTCGAATTGCTAATGTACCATATGTTCTGGAAATGGTAATCGCCAAGACCGTATATTAATGATAATATGTTCGTCTTATACGCCAACCCTCTGATAGGTGTTTAGAGTCTCAAGACGAGAACAGTAATACAGAAACAAGGAACCACTAGATATCAGGCGCCTTTTTCTCCCCGAAAAATACTATTTTATATATATCTATAGAAAAAAAAAGTTTGATATTGCCAAACTAGAACGCTGTTTTCTAAGATTTTGCTTCAGGAACCGATGGGTACTTAGTAAATTCATTTACTCTGATGATGTAGGAATTAAAAACTTAGCTAGTAAGTTATTTTCATGAACTTTGCCTCCTCATAATTTACATAGAATTATTACCCGTCCCATATGTTAGTCTCCTCCTCTTCCATCTGCTCCATCACTTTTATTACTTTCATGCTATTACACTTT